TGCCATGTAATTGAAAACTCTTTCTTCAAACCTTTGCTATTAACATGATGTTTTTTATGAAATTCAGAGGCTTGTAGCACACTACCAATCAATAATTGATCAATTTCTGCATTACCTTGTGCTAGAGGACCTGGCAGACCCGTATGGGATCGGATGTGTGTTATGTACATAGGGCAAAGCCTGTTCCTGATCAAATCTTGAACCTGGAGGAACAATGAGGTTAGTTCAGTATCATCAGGTATAAATTCAGCAGTTTCAATATGTAAAATAACTCTTTCTGCGTATTGTGAATCTGTAACTATATTAATAGGTTCTTTAAAATCCCTTAGCACCATAAGAATGGCATATAATTCCGCCTTCTGGACAGAAGTATACGGACTTTGTTCCACCTTATCCAAGTCTTCTGATTTGTAACCTGCCTTCCCTGATTTATTGGCATCAGTATAGAATGTACGGGCTCCAGTTATTGGAGCATCACGGACGATTCGAGGAAGAATCCAAGAGGTTCTCTTTATGAAGTTAAGCCTCTTGCTTTTTGGATAGTTGTTATTAATGTCTCCCAAAAAATTAGCACAAGCTCTTTGCCATGGTTCATTATCTTCCCATAATTTCTTTAGTTCATCAGCAGTGAAAGGCACTATAATTTCTGCTGGGTCTATGCCTGCTAGTTGACGAAGTCTCAGCTTGCCTTTTATAATTAACTCAGAGACTTTTTCCACATAAGTTTTCAGTTTCTTACTTGGTTTATGTGGTAAAAAGATCCATTCCAAGATAATATCATCTCTCTGCATTAAAATTCCTGTAGGAGAAATTTTTGATGGTAGTATGACGAGAATACAATCGAGCTCTGGATTCACCCTGTCCACATGTGCCTGTTGTAATTTTTCCTCAATCATTGTCAGTTCCTTTTCTGCTTCAGCTGTTAATTCTCTGGGACTGTTTAAATCTTTATCACCATCCAAGGTTTTGTTCAAATGAATTATTAAATCAGGTGTTATTCCAATAGCTGGTCGTAGACTGGAAATGTCTCCTAACAGTCTTTGAAAGTCATTAAGAGTCCGTAGGCGATCTCTCCTAATTTGTGCTTTTTGTGTCTTAATTTTTTGCAAACCTATTTTATAACCTAAATAATTAACAGAATCTCCCTTCTGAATCTTTTCAGGAGCTATTTGCAATCCCCATTTAGGTAAAAGTATCTTTATTTCTTCAAACAGTCTGTTCAAGGTATCCATGTTTGAATCGGATAACAAGATGTCGTCCATGTAATGGTATACTATAGATTTGGGAAATTTCTTGCGTATTATTTGCAATGGTTGGTTCACAAAATATTGGCACAGGGAGGGGCTATTTAACATACCCTGGGGGAGAACGGTCCAGTGGTACCTCCTCGAAGGTTGAGAATTGTTGTAAGTAGGCACTGTGAATGCAAATTTTTCTCTATCTTCTTTTTGCAAAGGTATAGTGAAAAAACAATCCTTTAAATCAATAACTATGAGAGGCCATCCTTTTGGTAATAAAGAGGGCAAAGGAATTCCAGATTGCAGAGGGCCCATAGGTTGAATAACCTTGTTGATGGCCCTGAGATCTGTCACCATTCTCCATTTACCTGATTTTTTCTTAACCACAAATACAGGAGAATTCCAAGGGCTGGTAGATTCTTCTATATGTCCAGCATCTAATTGTTCTTGTACCAGCTGTTCTAAAGCCTGTAACTTTTCCTCAGCTAAAGGCCATTGCTTTGTCCATATTGGTTTCTCAGTCAACCATTTTAGAGGCAAGGCTGTTGGTATCTCTGAAGGGACATCAATTGCTTGTTCTTGTACAGCCCGAATGGCCGGTTTTCTCCGTTTGTAATATCTTTTAATATTATTCTCAGAAATATAGGCTCTAGATTTTGCAGGAATGTTAATTTCGGTATTCCATTGTTGTAATAGGTCACGACCCCATAAATTCATTGCGATATTGGCTACATATGGCTTTAATTTTCCTATTTGTCCCTCTGGCCCTATACATTCAACCCATCTCGTGCTCTGCCTTACTCGAGATAGGGTTCCAATTCCCAGGAGCTGAACATTTACATTCTGAAGAGGCCAATACGGATGCCAAGATTCTGGGGTAATGATACTTACATCAGCACCTGTGTCCAGCAGGCCAGTAATAAAAATGCCATTTACACACACTCTCAGTTTAGGTCTTTGATCATTTATAGAAGTTTGCCAAAACACACGTAACTTATCTTTCTGATCATTATTGCTTGTAACAGTAGGCATGGGGCTTCCTAATTGTCCTGATGAGGCACGTTCTCTGCAGAAACTGGATATGACTGAACCATGTTTGCCATGGGGGCCTGTGAGGCCCCCCCTCTCACGTTTCCCGGCTGTATCAGGTTGCCTTGTCTATCTCTTGTAGACCTGCATTCATTCGTCCAATGTCTGCCCTTTCCACATCTTCTACATAAACCTGAAGGCTGAGTCCTCCTATTTCTGTTATTTCTAGAAGATGCATTATTATTATTATTTCTGAAAGATGCATTATTATTATTATTATTTCTGAAAATCCGTTGTTTACAATTCCTTTTAATATGACCCATTTTTCCACAATTAAAACATTTGGTATTCTGGTGTCTCCTTTTACCATTGGAAATTGCTTCTTCTACCCATGCTTCAGTGCCATAATCAAATGTATCAACATTGAGTGTATGCAAGACCCATTCTTCCAACGGCGCTGATCTGAGCTTTAAAGGACCCAAAATCCTTTTGCATTCCACATTTGCATTTTCATAAGCCAAAGACTCAATCATTATACGTCTTGCTTCTGGGTCAGATATTCCTATTTGTACAGCCTTAGTTAATCTTTGTAAAAAGTCACTAAAGGGTTCTCTCTGACCCTGTTTAACTCTGACAAATGATTCCATTCTCTGTCCTGGGTCTTGTACCCTGTCCCAAGCCCTTAAGGCTGCTGTAGTACACATGGAGAGTGTGTTTTCATCCAAATTAGCTTGTTCCTGAGGATCAGAAAAGGGCCCTTCACCTAGAATTTGATCTAGGGAAATGTCAATTCCCTTCGCTTTTTCCTGCTGTTCTAAGAGTCTAGCCTCTTGCCTGAATAAGCATTTCCATTTCAATTGCGGTCCACTCTCGAGTACCGCAGAGCTCAGCTGGAGCCAGTCTGAGGGGGTTGCTCTGCTTGTCGTGGCCCAAGATCTTAGCATCTCTTTAACAAAAGAGGCTTGCATCCCAAAAGTCATGACAGCCTGTTTTATTTCCTTGAGATCATTCATACGCACAGGTTCCCATGTATCCTCCTTGATGACCCTAGGGTTTTTGGAACCAATCACCTTCTCTGTTGTTATTACTGGAAAGGCAGGTAGAGCTGTAGGTAGAGCTTTGTGGAAATTGTCCCGGAGAGACTTACCCACAGATGTAGTTAAAATTTTCCTTTCTACCCTTTGCTCTTCCTCATCAGAATTTAGAAATTCCTCAATCTTTTCAATTCTATTCACCATTGCTTTCTGCAATGTCTGAATCTCCTGTCCAGAATTATGTTCCAAAGCCTTCATTGAGGATTCTAAAATATGAAGTTTGTCCGTTAGAGATAACATCTCATCTTTGGACATAATTTTTATGGCATAAACCGTGCCTTCTTGTATTGACAATCTTTCCGTCAATCTGTCATAAGCTTTAGAAAAAATCCGATTGTCACATTCAGCAGTTTTGATTCTCTCAGTTAATGTTTCATTTCCTACAGAAAGGGACTGAATCTTATGGTCCAGATCAGCTGTTCCCTCTTCCATAGTAATGAATTTCTCCTTAACATCAGCCTGAAGAACTTCAACCTGATTCTTGAGAAGATTGTTATCAGCCTGGAGAACTTCAAACTGATTCTCGAAAAGATTGTTATCAGTCTGGAGAACTTCAACCTGATTCTTGAGAAGATTGTTGTCATTCTCAATTGTTTTTAAGCGTTCAATCTCTGCCTTAAGAATCCTGGATTCGTCTCGTAAAGACTTTATCATATTTCTATTATCAAACCATTTGGTGCCAATGAAAACTACGAATCCCAGAAGGATCCATATATGTGGGGTGATAGACACCTCTTGTAAAATCTCCCACATGGTACAATTAAAAAAATCATTAAATTCTTGAACAGTAATGTGTTCAGACATTTTATTTATAAAAGAAAATTTTTTTACCTGCAAAGATCGGTTCCTGCCAGTGGTGGTCTCTGTGTTTTTGGAGCCTGTCCTAGAACTAGCTCTTGTAGACCAGGCTGGCCTTGAACTCACAGAGATCCGCCTGTCTCTGCCTCCCAAGTGCTGGGATTGAAGGCGTGCACTACCAAGGCCTGGCAGGCCTCAAACTCACAGAGATCTGCCTGCCTCTGCTTCCCAAGTGCTGGGATTAAAGGCGTGCTCTACCACTGCCTGGCCGGCCTCAAACTTGTGATCCTCCTGCCTCTGCCTCCTTCAGCAAATCCTACCGGCGTGCGCCACCACAACCGGCCAAGTCACTTTGTAACAGACCAAATCTGACACTGTGGCAGCTTTTGTTGCAAAACCGCAAGTACTTGAGCTTCTGCTAATTCAGGCAGTGGGGTTCCGCTGCAAAACTTAGCCAAGGCAGGCAGAATGGGCCTGTGTCGCCGAGTGTGTCTCGGACTCGGCACTGGGGCCGGAGTCACGAACTGAAAAACAGCACCGGGGAGGGTGCTGTGTTAGCTAGCGGGCTACCCGCTTGAGTCGGGGGCAAAATAGCCCGACGTTGGACGCCAAAATGTAACGGCGTAAATGAATGCAGACAGAGTGTAAAAATATATATATATAGCTTTAATGTAGAAATAGACTTACAGAACCACCGTTCCCGCGGAGACCAGGAAAGCAGAAGCGAGAAGCTCGGAGCTTGCTCGCCAAATTTATAGGCAGACATTAGCCCGAGGCGAACACGCCCCCTAAGGGGCGGGACTTATCCCTACATTGTCTTATTTTATCTTTTTCTTTGTAGGCGTTGTTGATCCTTATTGCTCATTGGAATGTGAAGTCACCTGGCAGCCAGGTTTTAGTTCTCCTGAGAAGGGAGAATTTATACTTGAAGTCTCTGGAGGAAATACTCTGACACTGAAGTGTACTGCACATGTAATTATTTCTCTTTTTAATTTTTTTAAAAAAATAAAACAATCTTTCATTTTACATACCAATCCAGGTTCCCACTTGCTCTTCTCCCATTCCCTCCACCTACCCTTTCATCTACTCATCACAAAGAATAAGACAAATTGCTTTGATGAAGGACCAAGGCCCTCTCTACTATATCCTGTACTGTCACACTGGACAAAACACTTGAATTACTTAACAAATATTCAGCAGGCTTGGTGGTGCAGGTATATAGTCCCAGATACTTTATGTTGGGGCAGACAACTTGTTTGTTTCCCAGCTGCTGAGACAGGAAATAATAACAATGAAATTATATTAATTACAATACTGCTTGGCTAATGACTCTAACATACTCCTAGTTAGCTCTTATATCTTAAATTAACCGATTCCTTTTATTTTGTATTTGCAACTAGGTTGCAGCCTACCAGTAAATTTCTGGTGTCTGTCTCCTGCAGCAGCTACATGGCTTCTCTCTAACTCTGTCTACTCTCTCCTCCTCTATTTGCTTACAATTCCTGCCTTGCCCTATTTTGCACTGCAATAGGCCCAAAGCAGCTTCTTTATTAACCAATGGTATTCATAGCATACAGAGGGGAATCCCACATCAAACTTAGATGCTGAGATACAAGGTCATAATATGTTAGAGACCTGCTTTGGCTAAAAAGTGAGTTCATGATTTATTGATTTATGATGTAAGCTTTAAGGTTCTTGCTCCTGCTGTAAAGCCTAATTGTTGCCATGACACACACCATGATTAACTCCTATCCCTTTGGAATCCTAGCCAAATAAACTCTTCCTTCTTTAAGCTGCCATGGGTATGGTGTTTGATCAAGAGGCAGAAAAGAAACTAATAAGACCCATCTTCTTGTATTTGGGGCATAAATGTTCAGGATTTAGGCTTCATCTTGATGGATTGTTCCTGTGATGAATATGAAGTGTCCTCCATCTCTTCTGACTAATTTTATTTTGAAGTCTATTTTGTTAGATATAAGATAGCTATACCCACTTGTGTTCTTAGGCCCATTTGATAGGAAGATCTTTTCTCAATCCTTTACTCTGAAGTAATGTCTATCTTTGAGGTTGAGTTGTGTTTTTTTTAATACAGCAGAAGGATGGATCCTGCTTTTGTATCCATTCATTTAGTCTTTTTCTTTTTATAGGTGAATTGAGTCCATTGATATTAAGAGATATTAATGACCAGTGATTGTTAATTCCTGTTATTTTTTGGTGGTAGTGTTTGTGTGATTCCTTTCTTTGGAGTTTGCTGGTAGAGGTTATCTGTTGCCTGTGTTTTTGTGGGCGAAGCTAACTTCCTTGGGTTGGAGTTTTTTTTTTTTTTTTTTTTTTTTTTTTTTTTTTTTTTTTTAGTACTTTTTGTAGGGTTGGATTTGTGGATAGGTGTTGTTTAAATCTGGTTTTGTCGTGGAATATCTTGTTTTCTCCATTGAGGGTGATTGAAGTCTTTGCTGGTTATAGCTGTCTGGGCTTGCATCTTTGGCCTCTTAGTGTCTGTAGAACACCTGTACTGGACCTTCTGTCTTTTATGGTTTATTGGGAAGTCAGTTGTATTTCTGATAGGTCTGCCTTTATCTGTTACTTGACCTTTTTTTTTTCTTTGCAGTTCTTAATATTCTTACTTTATCCTGTATGTTTTCTGTTTTGATTCTTATATGGTTATCAAACATTTTTTTTCCCCGTTGGTCAAGTCTATTTGGTGTTCTGTAAGCTTCTTGTACCTTCATACGGATATCCTTCTTTAGGATGGGAGAGTTTCCTTCTATGATTTTGTTGAATATATTTTCTGTGCCTTTGAGGTGAACTTCTTCTGTTTATTATTCTTAGGTTTGGTCTTTACTAGGTGTCCTAGATTTCCTGGATGTTTTGTGTTAAGAATCTTTTGGATTTAACATTTTCTTTGACCAATGAATCTATTTTCTCTATAGTATCTTCAACACCAGAGATCCTCTCCTCCATGTCTTGTATTCTTTTAGTTATGCTTGCCACTGTAGTTCCCATCAGTTTATCCAGATTTTCTATATCCAGAATTCCCTCGGTTTGTGTTTTCTTTATTGCCTCTATTTTAGTCTTCAAGTCTTGAACTGTTTGCTTCACCTGTTTGATTATTTTTTTCTTGATTTTCTTTGAGAGATTTATTTTTTCTTCCAATTTTTTGTTTATCTTTTTTTCCATTTGTTTAAGGAAATTTTTCATTTCCTCTTTAGACATCTCCATCATCCTCATAAAATTACATTTAAGATCGTTGTCTTTTGCTTCTTCTGGGTTAGGATGATCAAGTCTTCCCATTGTTGATCACTAGATTCATGTATTACCATGTTGCTTTTTAGGTTGTTGGATGAATTCTTGCATTGGCACCTACCCATCTATTCCTCCAATTGGTGCTGGCAATGTCTTTGCCTTTTGGTTCAATCCTTACAGTGGCTATCTGTGTCTTTGAAAATTGTTCTTGTTCTGCTCTGTAAAGTTGCTGTGTCCTAGGTAGCCTCTGTTATCTATCTTATCCTGCTTTCTTGGTCCACTATCAATCTGCTCTCTTTGTTAGTTCTCTTGGTCCATTCTGTGCTGTCACAGCCTGTGCTTAAGAATGGCACTGGGTTTTGATCCTACTGCACATACTGGCTTTGTGGGAGCCTAGGCAGTTTGGATGTTCACCTTACTAGACCTGGAATGAGGTGGGAGGTCCTTGGACTTCCCACAGGGCAGGGAACCCTGACTGCTCTTCTGGCTGATGAGGGAGGGGGAGTTGATTGGCGGAGGGGGAGGGATATGGGAGGCGGTGGCGGGGAAGAGACAGAAATCTTTAATAAATAAATAAATTAAAAAAAACTAAAAAAAAAGAGTTTCTCTTAGGTAGTGGGGAGAGAAGAAGGTTTGGGGGCAGAGTGGGACTTGTAGCTTACAGAGTCTGATCAATGAGATGGAATTGTTGGAGCAACCTACCTGCAGTTAGCTTGCTTGCTGGCTTGCTAGAGAAATCTGAAGCAGGTATGGGAGGGTGCCTGGGGTTTTGCTAATGTATGGAAGGCCTAGAGAGTGGGGTGTCCTGCTGGATGGGTGATCATTCATCTTTTGGTTCTCTGTATAGTCACAGCCTTTGCTTCAGAGTTCCTCTGAGGTCACGTGGATAGGAGGGTTTAGGAGTGGAGTGGTACTTGTAGCTTACAGGATCCAATCGATGGGATGGGGGTGTTGGAGCCTGTAATTATTTCTCTTGAATGTGATTTTTATCTTTTCCATTACAAATTATATGGCTATACAGTTGTTTTGACTTATAAAAACATGTAAAAATTGAATTAATATAATAATTATTTTAGCTAGTTTATAGAACTACTTGCCTATTATGAATGAGGAACTAGCTCAGATATCCAAGAACTTTGTGGAAACAATACTATTTTGCCAGAGGCTCTATAAATATGTAGTAGCATCATGGAAGTCACTTGAGAGTCACTTATTCATTATCAAACAATATATAGTATAATAGAGAAAATTCTATTGTATTTATATTATTTTTCCTAAAATCACTGTTAATCTTCAAGTACTAGTTAGTAATTTAGTATGGAAAAGATCATGTAATTTACATAAAAAGAAACGAGGTTTTTTTTTTACTATAGAATATGTTTTTTACAATAAAAATGAAAGATGTGATGTATAACTAAGTTTCTTTCCACAGTATAACCAATGATGCTCTAACAACATGTCTTTTGGTAACCAAGAATGCATTTTGTTTATGATCCCAGCCAATGCTGTTAGACATTTTAAAAAACCCAAGTACTTTCACTGAATTCTATATTTTATGAACAAAGTGATCTCCTGTGTTTCATCTATGAAGGTGCTTGTAGCTTATACATATGAAACTCACCAATTTTAGGGATTGCAAGTGAGTCTCAGGACACAGTCGGGTCTTCCCTCAAATCCAAGCTTAAAATAAGTTGACTCCTCCTAAGTTTGTATATAAATCCCATATTATTTCTGAAACTTTTTCTTAAAGTAAAACACACATACATATATGTACAGATAATAAAAGTATATATCATTCAGCTTTGCAAAGTGATGCCTAGATCAAGAAATAGAATATGATGGGCATAACAAAATAACAGCCTTTTCCCCAGGCCACATTTCCCATAACCATATACCTCCCAAGGTTATTGCTTTCTTCATTTATGATAAATTAATTATGGCCTAAAATTTATGTCCACATAGTCAAACTGCATTATTGCATGTATGCCTTCCTGTTATAATTAGGTTTGTAGCACTAGTCTTTGCTGACACATTTGTTTGTAGATTACTCATTGTCCTCTTTGAAGAGTATTGGATTTGGGTGAATGTATTGTCACTTATGTTTACATAGCTAATTAGAAAATGTGTTCTTATAAATGTTTAATGTATTTCATTTCCATTATTGAAACTCTCTTTTAGTGAACAGATGCACAGTATTTATCTGTTTATGTAATTCTATCTAACAAGTTTAATATTGTACTTTTGCTCACATAGTCGACCTATGCCCATTTTTCACTAACATACAAAAATGACTAATGGCATTAAAGTAGATACTATTTATTGAGCAGCTACTATGTGTCAAGTGCAATGCTAACTTGTGTTTATTTATTGCCTCATCCTTACAAAATTCTGAGGCATTTAATGTATATGTTTATATACGTTGTTAGTGGTGACGAATTGAAAGACTATGTTGTTAAGTAATTAATAAAAGTTCACAAATGATTTATTCCAGATATAACTGCCACCACAGACTTTAATGTCACCCTCATTACTGAGATTTGTTTTTTCTATTTCCTACCCCATGAGTGAATACGAATGAAATAAACAAACTATTAAATGAAAAAAAAACTATGGGATAATTAGATAAGGAAATAAAAGATAATTAATAGCAAATTGGGTCATTTCAGGTAAAACTTTTCAAGTTTACTCTGGAGAAAACAGGATGGAGGAACATTGAATGTTTGAATAAAGTGATAATTAAGGTTTATCATATAGCTATAAAAATCTGATTTACTTTTATTTCTGTTTTAGGTTAGTTTGAAAGTTTATTATTCCACTTACAAAAACTATGTTTTAAAATAATTTTAAGAATGTACTAAAACCTTATATAACAGTTTGTAATGCTATTATGAAGTCTAATGCAAAGTATACTCAAATCAATATTACTTGTACAAAATGTATTATAGCTATAGTTGGTGCCTGATTATTTACCTTTACTGTAAACTTGCAAAATGGCCATATATGAAAATATTATATGATTTATTAATTCTGTGAAATGTGTTTCTTGGAAGGAGGAGGAAAATTCCTGTGCCCATTCTCATGTAGGCCAAGTTCACATTATCTGTGTATTAAATGAAGCATGTCTGGGTGATTTCATTTTTAGTAACTTGTTTCCTGTATTTAGATGACCTTTGAATTCTGTTGTGTAGCACAATAACATGTTGTACATAGCTGAGCTAATGAGAGCCGAGTGCCTTTCAGTAATTTGTCAGAGTATCAATACATTTTTTAGACTAGGCATCACCTGTGACATAAGGGATAGTGTCACTCTTCCCTCCATAAATTTGGATCGTATTGTGTGTGTGTGTGTGTGTGTGTGTGTGTGTGTGTTGTGGTGTGACTGTGGATCACACCCAGGGCTTCACACAAGTTAGAGAAGTATTCTACCAGTAAATTATTGACTTTGATGGAGTAATATTTAGATATTGTATTCTAATTTTCTTTGTATTAATTCATCAGTATCTACTTACCTTTTATATTTTTAAATTCTCCATAAAGTTAAATTTACAGTTATATGAATATATTTTTGTTACTTCTCTCATTACTTTTTTCTCTTTTCCAATGAGGAATATATGCCTTTATTTCTTTCCAAGCTATAAACAGAACATATGAGATCAATTCTTAAAATTATCTATTTATAGGTTTAAATGTGTATATGTATAGACACATGTATATATACATATATAGAGAGCTGATAAATGTTGTTTACATTTACTTTTTTAAGCTAATAATTTGAATTGTTTTATTTGCTATTATTTTGATAATTTATCTCTTTTTTCCTTTTATTACCAGGTTGGACATACTAAAGTCACCTTTTTAGAGCCAAGAATACTGTTCAGTAATAGTCCTCAAGGTTTAACTACTTGGAGGAAAGCCATTCTTCACAATATAGGGCAAAATCATGCTTATTTTAAGGTAATGCAGAATTCTTATCTCTTCTTATTTGGATCAAATCATAGAATGATTTGAATCAATTTGTCCCAAATATAGTGTAAAGATAGTACTTTACTATTTAGAAATGGATTCAAAGCAGTGATCAAGTTATTATAAGTAGATTTTCTGAGTACATTTTGTCAAGTTTGTTCCACTTTCCCAATTTATAATTTTCCCTTTTTTTCGTATCATTTGATTTTATTAAAAGAAAAAAAGCAAACAGTGTTTTAAATATAATTACTTAGTAATGTTATGCTGCATAGTCAACTATGCTTTTTCTTTTCTTTTCACTTTGTAATCACGACTGTCATGGTAGCAACAAGGACTAGATAAAGGTAATTAGTTGTAGTTCAAATGATAAAGTCAAATCCTATTGCAAAATCACCTCATGTCTTATGCTCAGTGAGCCTCTTTGTAGGTAGTACTATAGATGCTTCTCTGTAAAGCTTTTGATATAATTCCTTTGTAAACAGTGTAGCAACTTACCAATTTTTAATTGCAGGTTTGTGATCAAAGCCTTTTGCCTACCATTAATATTGTTCCATCAGAAGGAATAATCCCATTTGGGGGAATAACTGTTCTTAATATCTCCTCTACACCCACTGTGGCAGAAAAATTTGATACGAGAGCAAAGGTATATTTGTTCATTCTTTCTCTTTGCATTTGTATATGTGTTGCAGGAGGTCCCTCCGCTCCTCCAGCTAATAGCCACTGAGAGACCACCCTTCCGCTCCTCCAGCCAATATATAAGTGTATATATATTTATATACATGTGTCTATGTATATATGTAATATTTTATAAATATTTACAATAATGAGAACATTGTAAAAATAATTGTTTGTTATTAGAAAATGTACTTATTTAATCAATAATTAATGAAATTTTGAAGTATAACACTATGTAAATTTATTCTTTAAAAAAAATTTGAATTAATCTAAATATGCAGGTTTTAGAGGTCTAAAAGTAGCAACTAACTATACCTAAGTTATATATCAATAGCTTTATATATATATATATATATATATATATATATATTTTGATAACAGCACTTGGAGAGAAGTTTCTGAGATTTTTTTTCAAGAAATCTGGTAGCTGAAGTTTCCTCTAAGTTGAAATGAAAGCTACCAATCAGCATGAGGCACTTTGACATAAAAATTGAAAGATTTGACACATCCTCACTGTTCTCATAAAAACAGATGAATTTTTCTCCATGGCATTAGGGAAATTAGGAAAAAGTAGTAATGGTATTGCAGTGGACATTCAGATCGTCTGGCTCTTAGCATCTTTCTTTCTCCTCTACCGTGATGTTCCCTGGGCCTTAGGTATAAGGGTTGTGTTGCAGATAGACACCCATGGTCAGTTGTTTTCTATATTTTAACCAGTTATAAATTTCCAGCATAGTCTACATCATCTGCTACAAAAAGCTTTTTAAAATGAAGGGTGAAATATATTTGTCTCTGAGTTTGAGCCTAAACATTTAGAATGTACTTTGAATTGTTCTGGGTTAAGAAAGTGACCATAGTGGGTTGTTCTCTAGAGTCTATGACATTTCCATACATGGGTAGTTGGTTTGGTTCCTAGTACCAGACACAAATTCCTTCTATTAAGTGGGTCTTAAGTCGGTCATTCCTGATACAATAGTACCACTGTGCACTACTGAGGATATTTCCAGTCAGGCCATTGTGGTATGTAGACATCACAGCTGGATAGGACTGCTGTTTGCTTCTCTCTTTTTGCAGCTTGTATAGCACCTTGCAATAAGTATGAGAGCTAGTCCCCAGGGAGGAGGCTTCCTGGTCAGGTCCAGCTGCATTCTTTCAGTGCTATAACCACCATGTGCGGTATCTTCAGCAATCAAATCTTACTGTCAAGATTTGGGAGGCAACCATGTTGTTTTGGAAGTTTTGTAGACTCTTTTCAACAACAATTCAAAGGGAATTTTATCGTGCTTGGATCTAGGTTTCTGTTATATTGTCTTTGTTTCCTTAGGAGAGCATTTGCATTATCATATATGTAATTTAGATGACTATATATATATATATATATATATCACATCACGTATGTAATAATCTGTATGAGAATATGTATATTACACACATATATTTGTGTGTGGGTGTATAGTATGTGTACTTTAATGCGCATTTGTAAAATGTTTCTTTACGACTCTTTCAAACAATGTTATTTACCTCTGCTCTTTCCTTTCCTCTGTATTGCCCACTCCCTGCCCCAGTTAGAAACCACCCTCTAATTTTTCCTTTGCCCTTGTCTCTCTCTCCCTAGACAGAACTCCTTGCCCCTTTCCCCTACTCCTGAATGGTCTCATTAGACTTTCCTTTTCTTTGAAGTTATTTGATTTTTGTTTACTATCTTAATCTTCTTGTTGAAGACTCAATATTCAGGCAGGCTAGAGGTCAGGTTTAATTATGCTGGCATTCAAATTTATGGACCCCCAAAGACAAAACATTGGCCCTTCTGAATGTTAGTTTTCTGTACTTTGAAATTAAGTTTCTTGAGAGAGTTATGCCATAGTATACCAAATATTTAAAAAGAAGGTAGTATAATTAAATACTACATTAGTTCTAAACAACAATTTTGACTTGTATTCATGGATACTGTGTCTATTAGCATATTTCTATGGAACAAAGTATTTATCATTCAACCATACTTTTGTTATTTTGAGTAATCTGTTGTTACTAGATAAGAAAAAATGAGTTACAGAGAATTATAGTCAGGTCTAGTCAAATACACATTACTCTCCCATTCAAATTCATAAGCTATTTGATATCTAATAGTTGAACACTAAGTTTACAAGCAGTATCAACTTGCCAAAGAAGAAAAGTGCTAATAACTGTCATAATAAATAAGAATATGTATATACATATACATTCACACACATATATAATTTGCATTATAAAGTGCCATAGGAGGGGACATGGGAATTTTATCTATATTTGACTATATTTTAATGTAATTTTTACAAGATTTTCTATTTTTTTAAATAAGGTTGCTATTCATCGTGCAAATGTTATAGATCTTAGGATTGGTGGATCTGTTGAAATTGCTGATGTTGAACTCTTACCTGTGAGTATGCCCCTTGCTCCTTTGCTTAATTTATGGGTGTGATGGTGACATGCCCCTAGTCAGTCCAGTTATGTTTATAGATACTTTTCTGTGTAGTAATTTTACATATATTAGTTAATACATGTAATATAAATGTAACTGATGAAGCAGAATACTGAAATTTTTAAGAATTAAACACTGAACTTAGGTGTGAGAAAACTATCAGTAGTATTAAAATGGTTTCATTATATTCTCTTCCTTCATAAGAGATGATCCTTCACCTTTAACCATCTGAAGTATTGGTTTAATTTGTCTGGTTTTAGGTTTTATGACAAAAAAGTGTTTGTTGTCTTTAATTGAATATTGTGTTTCCAGTATTTATTTAGGTTGTATTAAACTAGTGGATTTTTTATCACTGTTGCATAAAGATTATTTATATGAACATACTATAATTAGTCTTCATTTCATTGTTCTTCCATCTGTTTATTTCTGGCTCTTGTTGTAACCGGTGTTACCATGTCAGGTCATATTAGGTACAAAAGCTTCCTGGAATGCAGTATTTGTTCATGTTTTTCTTCACAAGACAATTCCCTTTTTTGCATTCTTTTATTCCCTGCTTATTTGTTTTTATAAAATTTATTTCTTTTATGTGTATGAGTGCCCTATCCACATGTAAGACCTTATCCCAGAAGAGGGCATCAGATCCCACTATAGATGATTGTGAGCCACCATGTGGTTGCTGGGAATTTAATTCAGGATCTCTAGAAGAACAGCCAGTGCTTTTATCTGCTGGACCATCTCTCCAGCCCCCACTAGATAATTTCTAAAATATCATATTACTTTCATTTCTATTGCTCCATTTTTTAGTGTGCCATAAGTTGTATTATGAGATGTAAAAGGTTCATCTAATGAGTATATCTAATGAGTATAGATTCCTCACATAGTCTTAATTTTAATTTTATGACCTATACTGACATCACTTTTCAAAATATTATCTATACATAAACAGTACCTGTTCTACAATTGATAGTGTGCATACTTACTTGACACACACATATATTCACACAGACAAACACACAGGCGTACATACACATGTACAGATACACACCTTTTTATCTTTTAAAATGAGCTCCAAAGGATATATTCTGATCCATTTACCCAAAGAAGCCTTTATTAGGCATTCAAAAGAGGCCTTCATATTCTTCCATTGTGACACTTGTAAGATATTATCAACTTCTTATACTCAGATAGCCCTTTCACCATAAGCTGTTATCCTATTATTTTAGATTATTTGCAACTTTTTTTCTTGCAATTGTTCCCCCATTACTTGGTGTCATTATGATGCTAAGTTATAAAATACATTGATTATATAGCTTAACTGGCTGCCACAGTACCTCAGTGTCAGTCTGTACTTTAATTGTACAACAAAAATCCAATGTCAGACTTTAGTTTCTGATTCCTATTGTTTGTTCAGTGATAAAAGCCTCTTCGGACTGGAGAGGGAGGGAGAGAGGAGTGGGGGGAGGGAGAGAGGAGTGAGAGGAGGTCGCAGGGAAATGGGAGGCTGGGAGGAGGCGGAAATTTTTATTCAATAAAAAATAAATTTAAAAAAATGCCTGAGATACATAGATCAACAGGCATCCAGCTTATTTAAAATTGTGATGATTATTGAAGATGGAGAGCTGGAGGGGATGGGCCCAAGAAAACAAGGGCTTCTAAATCAACATGATCAACATAGAACTCACAGAGACCAAGACAGCATGCACAATGAGGGCCTGCCTTGTTCTACAGCAGGTCCTTTGCATATGTATCTTGGCTTCCAGTTTGTTGATTTTATTGCATTCTTTAGTGTGTGAACAAGTGGACCTCTGTTTTTTGGGCTTGTTCTTAGGCTCTTATATTTCTGTTTGCTTTGCCCAATTCTAGTATTTTTGCCTTACAATAATTTAATTTTATTTTATTATTTCCTATAGAAATCATTTTGTTATCTAATAATAGTGGGGTAGATCCAGATGGGAGGGAACAGGCAGAGGAATTCATAGGAGCAGAAGAAAGGGAAACCATAATCAGGATGTGTTGTGAGTGAAAAATATTATATTTCATTAAAAGGGAAAATGAAAAATTCAATACTATCTTTTCTTTTTATATAGTATACTCTATGGGAAATATTGAACATTGAGGATTTTATTACTCTATTTTCTCATGCTAAATCAATTTTGGGACACACTACACATTACTAATAATAGAATAAGTTATATTACTTTACTGTATTTATAAGTAAGTCCTTATTATTTTAAAATTTAAAAATAATTTACTCTCCAATTTTGGTGATTGTAACATCGACTAGGCTAATGTTGAAGGATTAAAAATTAGATACCAGCCTTGACGTTTTATGAAAATCATTTTTAAGTAATAGTGGTAACAACAGCAATAGGTTGATATTTTAAATGAAACAATTGTCTTTGATAGTAATTAAGTATTTTACACAATATTACAAAATTGTTGTCACTGTGTCCTTTTAATGTTCTGTGTGCTTCATTTGCTAAGGAATTGATCTTATAGTAACTCTATAATGAGTCACATACTTGGTATATGAACATGAGTTCATGTACATTCAGAAAGCATCTAGTGTACATATAGACATGGATACACACAAGGACAAAAAGACATGTGCTTGTCTTTGAAAATGAATCCTGTTCTTAAATATAAGAATCAGATATGTGAGCAGATATTATGATGTTACCAGGAAGATAAGCATAAGGAATAAGTCACTTTTACCACAGTGTAATTAATTGTGGTTTATTTGAGCTTTTTAGATAACTACATTTTGGAGAAGGGTCTTTCTGGTAGTAGAAACACCATGATTAAGGTTTTAATATCTAGTGTTAGTTTGAAATGCAAAATCAAAGCTTACTGAAATAATAAGTTTTAGAATGAGCAGAGAGCTTAGATGAGGCTAGAATATGGGACACTGAAGAACTTGGAAAACTTTGAGTACTGCCGATGAACTTGAACCTTGTCCTGTTGATGGTAGGAAATATAAATGAGGGAGTTTGTGACTCAGTTATTGAAGGGAAGCATTTTTGAAAATAAAAATCTAGAAACTATTGCATATGACTATATACAATTATCAAACAGATACAATCTAGTAAAAAGGATGAAGAACAAGTTTATCGGGGTTTGGTATTTTACATGTAGGATGTAGGGAAGAGAAAGATAAAAGTTTTATAGAGATACATTTGGCAGTTAATCACCATGACAAATATCAAACTGCAAATTTGACTATACATATTTGTAAAACATCGTTCTACTTTCTAATTTTTATTTCCTTTTTTGATTTTAGAATGTGTTTAATTTCAGTGGCACCTATGTTGGCACTACAGAAGTTATTCCATTTTTAATAAAAAACCAAGGTGTGACAAGGGCCAAAGTGGAGTTTAATCTAAAAGACTTCCCACTTTTTGCAATGGATTTTAAGGGGAATCCAGGTATATGTTTTATACTGCAATAAGATAAAGTAAAGTAGTTTTAAAATGTCTAAGGTAAAATCATTAAAAACATATGACAATGGCAGTTCAGTTATGTTCCATATTTGTTATGATTTTATTAATTTAAGTATGTTGTATTATTAGAACACTTTCACAGCATGATACATAGTTGTTTTTATTAATTAGCTTCATATAGCAATTATGGCATATAAATGATTATGCTATAACTGAAAATATAATTGTTAATTTATGTTCTCAAAATTATATGCAGTCTTCCCTCTACGTTTACTCATGTCAGGAGTCAATATGTTTATTTTGGCTTAAATGAAGTATATACTTTTATGAGTGTATTGTTTCTTTTTTTAATTCAGAAGTTAGTAACTAAGCCTTGTGGGGCAAATCTGATTTGAACTTATAAACAAAGTTTTATTAGAATATAGATGTATTTGGCTTTTTCTTTTTGCAGCTTTCATGCTAAAAGGACAGAATTGAAGAGTTTGGTCAGAAATCATTTCCCACAAAGTATAGAGTATTTATTTGAACCCTTACAGAAAAAGTGTTCTTCCAATTGACTTAGTTAATTCTCCATCAGTAAATAGCTCCTAAATCCTAATTTATACTAAACATTAGACTAAATCTATAAGGTAACTAAGACATTTTCTGTGATCTTAAGAAGTGAAAAGTAAGGTTATCTGTTAGAATCTCAGCAACAAGTAGATGATTCACTGAGAGGGTTTAACTAAAACGATCTTAGAAAATGAATTGTGTGTGGAGTTTAGGGCAGTATTAAAAGAAACAGAAAGTGAGTGGAAGCTGCTGTTATCTCTAATCCTGAAGGAACAAGAGGAAAAGTACGTTGACAATCTAGGAGAATATGATATTATGTACAATAAGGCAGCTAATTAAGTTCTACAATGACAAAGCAATGCAGCCTTTGGTAGAACTGCAACCAAGACTTGTGAAGGAGTAGAAGGATAAATATTTGACTTTTTCTCACTCCCTGCTTTGGACTATTTTTGCTGGTGCTTTCTATGGTGGAACTTAGTCAGGAGAAGTAGCAAGGAAGCTTTACTTATTGTTTTGGAGAAGTCAAGATAAAGCAAAGAAATATGATATTAGGTCAAGGTGACAAATGGTGGCTACATAAGTAAGTCAAAAATCAGATTTTTACCATATAACATGACTAATAATACAAGACAGTTCCTCCTATTGTGTTAAAGCAATATACATTGTTCAGAACATAGTCTAGACTCAGTTATCAGAACATTGATACTTTACACATCTTAAGGAATTGAAAGAATATGAACAAGGATATATATGAAGGAATGGGAGTAAAGTCCTAATAAGAAGTTACTGTCATTCGTAATTGGAACATGAAACCAAATTTATGAAGGTACCTTTCCAGATTCATTTTATTTTATGAGACAGGCTTATAGCCTGGCTGGCTTGGAATACCCTCTATAGATGAGGCTAGTCTCAAAGAGAGCCATCTGTCTCTGCCTCTCAGGTGTTGGGATTAAAGCCTCTGTGAACTTTTGTCTTAGACATTAAGCAGAACAATTACAGAATTTACATGCAGGCAATGACATAATTAGGCTTGGGTTTTTCTTATGGAGTTCAATTGATAAGGTGCTGGGAGGAAGATAGGGAGATAGATGCAGTAGCCACAAGAGTGAGAAGTGGTGATAGCTCTGGACACAGGCAGGGGAACTTGCAATTGGAAGGGAGTACAAAACAGAGAAAAGAGGAATTACATGACCTCATGATACAATAGATGCATGTATTGAGAATGAGGGGGGAACTTCCAATCATCTCTGAATTTTAATTCTAAGATTCAGGTAGCTGAGAGTTCAGTTCTAAGAAGAAAATGCTGGAGTCGAATCATGATTAATTAGGCACTCTGTGTTTGAATTTAGTTGTCCATGACAATTTAGAGTAGACTGTTTGGAATCTACATGAAATTTATGTTCATTTATTAAAATACATATGTTGAACCAAGTATTAGCCTTTTGTCACTTTATCATGGGTACCCGTGCCCCTTTGTTCCATTACTCAATTCTTCTTGACAATTTTTGGCAAGCTGCCTGGCAGAGTGCTTTTCTTGCCTCTAGTTCAAGACTCTCTTCAAGGACACTAAGTTATCTTTTCGAATGCATTCCTGTTTCCAACCCTTTCTCCTTATACCTGTTCCACAGAGAATTGCATTCAAAGATTTGATCACATTTCTCTACTTACAAAGCTCTATCAGTTTCCTTTTACCAATAGCAGTGTTTCAGAGCAACAGGCTGCACAAAGTAAACAAAGCACATTAGTTGATTTTAATAGGTAGGAACAACGAAACACTTTTAAAAACCATTCTGAAAATTTATCTCATAAATATTTTAACAGATAAATGACTATATTTTCCACCTTACTGCTTTCCAACAAAATTCTTTAAATAATATTTGATAGAGTGACTTATGGGAAAAGTAATGTTTACATAGATTTATGTACAACTTGACCTTTTCATTCTAGTTTCTGGTCAGTGTAGTCACCATAGACTGTGTTTTAAACCCATACTATATTATACATCTCAATAGCACTGAATTTGCATTCTCCTAGAATAATACATACCCTGTCTCAATGCTCCTTGAGGTCTTACTGTCTTTTTTTTCTTTTCTTTTTTTTATTATTAAAATTTTCCGCCTCCTCCCTGCCTCCCTTTTCCCTCCCCCTCCCTCTACTCCCCACCCCCCACTTGCCTCCCCCTCCCTCTCCAGTCCAAAGAGCAGTCAGGGTTCCCTGCCCTGTGAGAAGTCCATGGTCCCCCCCCCCCCCCTCCATCCAGGTCTAGGAAGGTGAGCATCCAAACTGGCTAGGCTCCCACAAAGCCAGAACATGACGTAGGATCAAAACCCAGTGCCATTGTCCTTGGCTTCTCATCAGTCCTCATTGTTCGCCATGTTCAGAGAGTCCGGTTTTATCCCATGCTTTTTCAGTCCCAGTCCAGCTGGCCTTGGTGATCTCCCAATAGATCAGCCCTACCGTCTCAGTGGGTGGGTGCGCCTTTTAAACTTGTTGCATCTTCTGTGTCCTATGGGTAATTGGTAGTCTCATTTGAACTGTTAAGTAGATGGAAATCTACTTGGTTTTTTTTTTTTTTACTTTACTATGAAAATAGCCAGATTTTTCCAGTTAGTAGAGGAATCTATGTACATGTTTTGTTTTTTGTTTTCACCTTAATAGTGTGCATATTCCATAAGGTACAATACCATATTTATAATTTTAGTTTTTAGTAAAGTTGTTTATTCTAGTACTAGGCACATAATTAATATGAGAACATGATCATGTAAAGAAAAATATACCAGAGAGCAACAGGAAATATTTATTTTATAATATATATATATATATATATATATATATGTGTGTGTGTGTGTGTGTGTGTGTGTGTGTGTGTGTGTGTGTGTAATAAATATTTGTTTAGCTAAACTACCTTATTTTGTAGTTATGTATCTGCCCTAGTTAGCTATTCTTTGATGTTTCATATTGGTATATTCTGTATATTTTCCCGGGCCAAAAAAGTTCTAGTGTTAGTATATAATCAATGGACTCATTTGTTCCATGGTTTGCCTATCATAACATAGGTAAGTGAATTTGAGTGAGAAGGATGGAGTAAGTTGCTGAATTTGATTTTCAGATAGAGACAATTAAAATTTATTATTCCCAGATTAATGAGGTAAATGTTATGAGCAAATTAGACTTTAAAAGAGTGTTTAGTGTAAAGAAGAGTGGTTCTACTGCAATTCTCACTTGAACGTTTAGCAATTAGTTTCTGTGCAACAATTATATTTTTGCCTAATAGCTTTATTCTTTTCTGTGTGCTTTCTTTTTTACTGTTTTTATTGACCTATATATTTTTCTCCACTCCCCTCCCTTACTCTGTCCTCCCCTTCTACCCTCTCCCATGATCCTCACACTGTCAATTTACTCAGGAGATCTTGTCTTTTTCTACTTCCCTTGTAGAATAGATCCACGTATGTCTAACTTAGGTTCCTCTTTGTTGTCTAGGTTTTCTGGGATTATTATTTATAGGCTGGTTTACTTTGCTTTATTTCTAAAACTCAATTATGAAGGAGGGAGTACATATGATATTTGTCTTTCTGGGTCTGGGTAACCTCACTCATCATGATGTTTTCTAGATCCATCCACTTGCCTGCAAATTTCAAGATGTCATTATTTTTTCTTCTGTGTAGTACTCAATTGTGTAAACCTACCACATCTTCCTTATCCACTCTTCAGTCGAGGAGCATTGAGGTTGTTTCCAGGTTCTCACTGCTAATGAACAAATACTGCTACTATGAACATAGTTAAACACATGTCCTTGTAGTATTATTGAGCATCCTTTGAGTATATACCCAAAAGTGGTAGTGCTGGGTCTTGAGATATGTTGTTTCCTAATATTCCGAGAAATCGCCATACTGATTTCCAAGAAGGTTATACCAGTTTGCACTCCCACCAGCAGTGGAGGAGTGTTCCCTTTACCCCACAACCTCTCCAGCATAAAAGTTGTCATCAGTGTTTTTGATCTTGGCCATTCTGACAGGATTAAGATGTAATCTCAGAGTTGTTTTGATTTGCATTTCTCTGGTGGCTAAGGATGTTGAGCATTTCCTAAGTGTCTTTCAGCCATTTTAGATTCCTCTGTTGATAGTTTTTAGGTCTGTACCCTACCTTTTTATTGGATAATTTGTTCTTTTGATGTTCAATTTCTTGAGTTAATAGCTTATTTTGGAGATCAGCCTTCTGTTCAATGTGGGGTTTATAAAGATCTGTTCCCATTGTGTAGGCTGCCATTCTATCTTTTTGACCTTATCCTTTGCTTTACAGATGTTTCTCAGTTTCAGGAGGTCCCATTTATTAATTGTTGCTCTCAGTCTATGTGTTATTGGGGTGTAAGATAGTAAGTGATCTCCTGTGTCATTGTGTTTAAGTGAACGTCTCACTTTCTCTTCTATTAAGTT